TTTATGAAAGCTTGTGTATTAGAAATATTGTTATGAATACAACAACAGTCTGTTATTCCCTACTTAAAATAATTACATATGTGATATAACCATTGCAACCATCGTCCATTATATTTGCCTCTAGGGTAATGATGGTGCTAATGTGATGAATATGATAATACTAATGATATCAATAGTGTTGATATTATATAATCAAAATGATAGTAACGAAAGGAGTAATAATAGAACAATAATAAGTGGAAGTAATGACAATAATGATAACTATAATAATAGTAGCAATAGTAATATAATAATAATATTAATAATAATGATAATAGTAATAATAATAATGACGATGATGATAGCGATAGAAGCATTGATAAAATTATAATTGTCATAGCAATCAACAATAATAATACTAATCACCATCATAATTATTAGCACCATCTGAATAATGAGAATAATAATGATAATAATAAGAATAATAAAATATAGTAACAAAATCATTTATAATAACTAATACTTTAATGTGGTATTTTTTTCTTTGCCTTAATCCTTTATTCATCCATTCGTTCTCTTTCTGTCCATCATTCTTTCCTTTTTCTTTCTTTCTGTCCATCAAGGCAAAACCGTAGCCCATCATTAACTTTTCTGTCTATTGGCGGATCATCTCCGTTTTCTGGTTCGAACTCCTGGGTTTCCACTGTGAGTTGTTACGCTGCATCTCAGCGGTTCTACACCATCTCTTTCGTCGTATACATAATTTCATCTAAAAACCGGAAATCACCTGACAAAAATCTCAGTTGAAAATCCGCATCAGACTATAGTAGCAAAGGCCAATTGCCTTTTGTGACATGAAAGCTTGTCTCACTTCAAGGGAGAGTTCCGTCTTAACTACTCACTATATTCAATTGCTGATGAGTATTATCAAAGAGATTATGGTTAAATAAAGCTATGGCTATCACCTCTAAGCTGAAATGCGTAATTTGATAGATGTTCAGGATAACAACTAGAATAACTGATAATTACAATCAATATCAGAAAGAAAATTAATCAGAGACGTGAGGTAATGATATAAAAATCTTTATCAGATAACCCGATTTTTACATTATTATCACACATCTAGTAAAAATCAAGAGAGGAAAACCATATCGTGTAGTTTTAGAATGCATTTATCTTTGTTGTTTTCTTACAACACGGCACGCATTGTCTACCTTGGAAAATAAAACAGCCCAATGGTATATAAAAGCCTCGTAGCTAATAGGCTCCGTCGGACGAAGAAGTCTCAGAAAAACCATTGCAGGTACGAAGGAAATGAAGGGTCTTCACTGGTTTATTTGAGGTGATCTACTTGGCTGAGAATAAAATGCCTTTCCATTAGGGTGGGAAATGTTCCATCAGCTCAACTGCACAACTCGAGCTCTCTCTGACGACGAACCCAAATATCTGGCACGAGATCGTCAATGGCAGATCGACCATGTGAAAAGATCTCAGCAAGAGTGTGGGATTCTACCATTCCTTACCAACAAGCGCTGGAATCTAATGCTAAGCCTAAGCCAGGAAGCCAAGGATGAAATTGAGCAACTATCTAGAAAAATCTTGTATATACATGAATGAGATAGACATAATATAATCTTTTTGACTCACATGCCCTATATTCTGCTAATAGCTTCAGAATGACAATGTCTGTCATTTGCTAATATTATTTTCTCAATGCATTCTCCATTCATCTATACAATAAAAACACACACACAGACACACACAGACACACACACACACACACACAACACACACACACACACACACACACACACACACACACATATATATATATATATATATATATATATATATATATATATATATATATATATATATACACATGTGTGTGCGCGCGTCTCTGTGTGTACGTATGTATGTATGCATGTATCTGCATATACTTACATGCATATAAATATATATGTATATATAATATATGTACGTATATGTGCATATCTATATATATAACACACATATATGTACATATTCATAGATGTATGTATATACATAAATATGTGTATATATACATACATACATTACATATATATATATATATATATATATATATATATATATATATATATATATATATTATATATACAAATATTTATTAATGTGCATATATGTGTATGTGTATATATGTATATATACATATACATGTATATACATAATGTATGTATGAATATATATATACACATATGGGTACACACATACACACATACACACAGACACACACACACACACACACACACACACACATATATATATATATATATATATATATATATATATATATATATATATATATATATATATATTACATATTCATATATATAGATACATATACACACACACTGACACATATATATTTATGTATATGTATATATATATTTATATATATGCATGTAAGTATATATATATACATACATACACATGTATATATATGTATATATATATGTGTGTATCTGTGTGCCTGTGTCTGAGTGTGCGTGTATGCACACACACGCATTCACTATCACTTACAATCACTGTATTGCAATTTATGCGGTATCAATATCTAAGAATACTAATGATATCAGCACTGATAGTAGTTGCTATACATAAATAACCTTCCACAATCCAATGATTCTGATAAGGTTCATTGGAGTATATAATGCTCTCCATCGAACGAACGCTTTACACTTTCGAAAAGGTTTGGTCCTTCATCAGACTGGGGACCAACGAGACCTGCAACTAGGTCACCATGACAGGTATGTGAGTGCTATTGCTTCACAGTAGATATTCTTTAAAATACTGTATTTTACTTTTCCCTACTGCAAAAGGGCTCGATTATTCCCTTTTCCCGATAATCTTCTATCTGTCTTGAGTGTAAGAAGCTTAAATGCCTAACCATATATTACTCTTCCCGTTCAGACAATCCGACGATAACGTATGGCGTCAAAGATGGGGAAACCGTGTATCTCGTGAACCAGAGCACCAACACTTGCTTGGCTGTCACGAGCGGATCAAGCCCTGATGACGCCGTGGTCGGCATGGCCCCGTATGATGGGAGCCAGGGACAGCAGTGGACTAGGTCTGGGGACCAGTGGCTATGGGGAGGAAACTCCTCATACTGTCTGGAGCCGATTTCTGGCACAAACAAAGTAGGTCTAGGCAACACTAGCAATTCATCCGCTTCCTGGGTCTATGATGAGTCTGAGAGAATATTGTTGGGGTCATATGCTCTGGATGTACCATGGACAGAGCCAAGGACACAAGTCACATTGTATCCTATGCATGATGGCCTTAACCAGAAATGGTGGTTTGAGTCTCTGGAAACCAAAGAACCAGAATATCTCATCAGTCAGAGTACCACTACGTGTCTCGCAGTACGTCGTGGTTCTATGCCAAGTGATGCTGAAGTTGGACTCCTGAAGTGTAGTGGAAGTAAGGAAGAGGGCTGGTTCCCCTTCGGCGGCTCATGGCAGTGGGCAGGGAACCGCTCTTACTGCCTTGGTCCAGATTACAGCACTCGGGATGTGAAACTAGAAGATAGTAGTAATTCGACTGCAATTTGGACCTGGGACGAATATGAGAGATTCAGGATTGGCTCATATGCTCTTGATGTTCCCTGGGAAGAACCAAGAACAAAAGTTTGGTTGTATCCTCCTCACGATGGACTCAATCAAAAGTGGTGGAAATTCTCGGAATTGAAAACAATTCCAGAAGGAGCTCCACCGGCAGTCTACCCATTCCCTGGTAGTGATGAGACAACATACAAGCAGGAAATAGCTAGAGGAATAATAAATGATATGAGTTCAAAGTCTGATCCTCTTCCATACCCTCGAGATGTGGCTACCTTTCCTGGAACAGTTGATGCTAGCACACCAAGAATTACAAAGAAGGTGACTCTAGATCTATCTGTACTTGGACAAGACAGAGATTTCCGAATGACAGTTCCCAAAGACTGGCAGCTCACGGAGCTGTACCTAGCAGCGGGAGACGTGTGTCAGGTTATTCTGCCTGAAACTTTATCAGAGGCACAAGCACTGCAGATCACTGTTCGCATTGGTGCACAAACTGACTGGCTTCAACCAAAGTCTTCTAATGTCATCAATGGACAGTACAAACGCATGCCCATAGTGTCTGAGACATTCGATGTCAAGCCAGGTTTGACTGAGATCAGGAGTCAGTATGGAGGCAACATCATATTTATGTTCAGTGAAGGGGAACATTTCACAGTTGATGTTGATGTCACGAACGTGGTCGAAGCGCCATACTATCGCTATGGACAGACATCGAATGCAGAATGGGAAACTATCAAAATGAGAGATGCTCCACAGACTCTAATGGAATCAGATAAATGTGTGGTTGCTGTTGCCACAAAGGATGCAAGAAAAGTAACCAATCCTGACGAACTGATGTCTCGTTATGAGGAAATTATGGGAATGCTAAATTATGCTGCAGGTTTTGATGAGTCTGAAGCTCCACCACGCGGTAAACAATGGCTGGTGAATGATACTCAGATTACAGTTGGAGGAGCCCACGCTGGATTTCCACTTATGTTTTGGCGTTTGTATTTTAACATGGCTGATAATCGCACTCCCTATGACTGGGTAAGTTGGCATGAACTTGGACACAACTACCAGCAGTGGCAATATTGGTCATATGCTTATGGTAGCGAATCAACAGTCAACTTATTTTCACTGTACATTCAGGAGCAACTGTTTGATAGTGACAGATTGGAAGAGCAGAATACTTACGTCACAGCAGCTGATAAAGTGGACAATGGAATGACTTTTGACGAGGGAGACGTGTGGGATCAGTTGGTGTTCCTGATGGAGATCAAGCATGCCTTCCCATTAGGGTGGGAAATGTTCCGTCAACTCAACCGTACAACTCGAGCTCTTTCTGACGACGAAGCCAACTATTTGGCACAAGATCGTCAACGGCAGATCGACCATGTGTACAAGAACCTCAGCAAGAGCGTGGGTTACGACCTAGTCCTTACCTACGAGCGCTGGGGTCTGAGCCTAAGCCAGGAAGCCAAGGACGAAATAGAGCAACTGGGTCTGGAGAAGGCGCCGGGAGACCTCTCTCACCGAGCCGCGGGAAAGCCGTCTCAAGTAACAGATGTGTCCGACGCTCAGATGTATACACCATGTGTTATCCTTCAGAGGAAGGTGTAAGGGAAAAGGCTTTCTAAAGCTTTAAAGATCCAAAGTTGATAGTTCGAAGACTGATGGTAGGACGATAAGAAAAGAGGAATTTCATTTTCATTTTCGGGAAGTATTTTGATTTCAAAAGGAGTGTAATTAGATTTTCTTGTTTACACTGAAGCCTCTGCAATTATTGTGAACATGTTAAGCATTTGAGACTGCATTTCATTTTGATAGTTGCTAAACAATATGATAATGCACGATTTTATTATATGTATTTGGGAATATATATCTATATCTATCTATCTATCTATCTATCTATCTATCTATCTATCTATCTATATATATATATATATATATATTAATGGTATAAACTTAGTGATTACATTGCTGTATGATAGTAATTGGATGATCAGATTCCTGATATGCATCACACCTTTGTAGTATTAATGATTAATAACTAACTTCATTTAAGTGATTCCAATAAAAATTATGACGTGGATACTACATCATTAACCCCCCCCCAAAAAAAAAAAAAAAAAAAATATATATATTTCAGTAGTGATAATGAGAATTCTGATAGAAATGAGGATAGAATTCAAAATAGCAAAACTATTATGATAGTACACAACAGATATATTAATACAGAAAAAAACAACACCAATGGCAATCTATGATAACGGTAATGATACTATAAGAACATAACGGCAGTGACGATAGAAATAGTAAGAATATTAACATTATATGGAATAATGGTTCGAACTCCTGGGTTTCCACTGTGACTTGTTATGCTACATCTCAGCGGTTCTACACCATCTCTTTCGTCGTATACACAATTTCATCTAAAAACCTGAAATCACCTGAGAAAATATCAGTTGAAAATCCGCATCAGACTATAGTAGCAAAGGCCAATTGCCTTTTGTGACATGAAAGCCTCTCTCACTTCAAGGGAGAGTTCCGTCTAAACTACTCACTATATTTAATTCACTTGCTGATGAGATTATGGCAATGTAAAGCTATGGCCATCACCCGTAAGCTGAAAGCAATGTAACTTAAACGTGATATTGAATCACTATTAATCATTATTAGCGTTATGCGTAATTTGATAAATGTTCAGGATAACAACTAGAGTAGCTGATAATTACAATCAATATCAGAAAGAAAATTAATCTGAGACGTGAGGTAATGATATAAAAATCTTTATCAGATAACACCCGATTTTTACATTATTATCACACATCTAGTGAAAATTAAGAGAGAAAAATCCTATCGAGTAGTTTTAGAATGCATTTATCTTTGTTGTTTTCTTACAACACGGCACGCATTGTCTACCTTGGAAAATAAAACAGCCCAATGGTATATAAAAGCCTCATAGCTAATAGGCTCCGTCGGACGAGGAAGTCTCAAAACAACCATTGCAGGTACGAAGGAAATGAAGGGTCTTCAGTGGTTTATTTGAGGTGATCTACTTGGCTGAGAATAAAATGCCTTTCCATTAGGGTGGGAAATGTTCCATCAGCTCAACTGCACAACTCGAGCTCTCTCTGACGATCAACCCAAATATCTGACACAAGATCGTCAATGGCAGATCGAGCATGTGTGCAAGATCTCAACAAGAGCGTGGGCTTCGACCTGGTCCTTACTTACAAGCGCCGGAGGATAATGCTAAGCCTAATTCGGAAAAAACCAAGGATGAAATTGAGCAACTGGGTCTGAAGAAGAAGCTGGGGACCTCTCTCACCGACCCAACGAAAAGCCGTGGTAAATAACATGTCTGATTGTTGTAACTATACACCATGTGTCACTCCTTGGCAAATACGACTAGAAAATCAATGTACATACATAAATAAGATATAGACCTGATTTAGTCTTTATGACTCACATGCTCTATATTCAGCTAATAGCTACAGAATGACAATGTCTGTTATTTGCTTATATTATCATCTCCATTCTCACTCATTTATACAATATATATATATATATATATATATATATATATATATATATATATATATATATATACATATATACACATATGTGCGTGTCTGTGTGTGTTTATGTATGTATGCATGTATCTACATATACTTACATGCATTTAGATATATTCTGTATGTATATGTTATATATACGTATGTGTATATCTATCTACCGATCTATCTATAACACATATATATGCATAAATGCATATATGTATGTATATACATACATGTGTATATGCATATATATATATATATATATATATATATATATATATATATATATATATAATATATGTATATATACATACATACATATATATATGTATATGTATACATATATATTTATGGATATGTGTGTGTAGCTATGTATATATACATAAATATCTGTTAGTGTGCATGTATGCATGTGTGTGCTTGTCTGTATGAATATATATACATATGTATATACATACATATATACATATATATGCATATTCATATATATATATATATATATATATATATATATATATATATATATATATATATATACATATATATATGCATGTAAGTATATATATATACATACATACACAAATATATATGCATATATATGTGTGTGTGTATGCGTGTAAGCACACATACACACATTCACTGTCATTGATAGTCACTATATTGCAACTTATGCGGTATCAGTATCTAAGAATACCTAATGATATCAGCACTGATAGTAGTTGCTATACGTAAGTAACCTTCCACAATCCAATGATTCTGATAAGGTTCATTGGAGTATATAATGCTCTCCATCGAACGAACGCTTTACACTTTCGAACTGGGGACCGACGAGACCTGCAACTAGGTCACCATGACAGGTATGTGAGTGCTATTGCTTCACAGTAGGGAGATATTCTATAAAATACTGTGTCTTCTCTCTGTCTTGAGTGTAAGAAGCTTAAATGCCTAACCATATATTACTCTTCCCGTTCAGACAACCCGACGATAACGTATGGCGTCAAAGATGGAGAAACCGTGTATCTCGTGAACCAGAGCACCAACACTTGCTTGGCTGTCACGAGCGGATCTAGCCCTGATGACGCCGTGGTCGGCATGGCCCCGTATGATGGGAGCCAGGGACAGCAGTGGATTAGGTCTGGGGACCAGTGGCTATGGGGAGGAAACTCCTCCTACTGTCTGGAGCCGATTTCTGGCACAAACAACGTAGGTCTAGGGAACACTAGCAATTCATCCGCTTCCTGGGTCTATGATGAGTCTGAGAGAATAGTATTGGGGTCAGATGCTCTGGATGTACCATGGACAGAGCCAAGGACACAAGTCATACTGTATTCTATGCATGATGCCCTTAACCAGAAATGGTGGATTGAGTCTGTGGAAACCAAAGAACCAGAATATCTCATCAGTCAGAGTACCACTACGTGCCTCGCAGTACGCAGTGGTTCCGTGCCAAGTGATGCTGAAGTTGGACTCCTGAAGTGTAGTGGAAGTAAGGAAGAGGGCTGGTTCCCCTTCGGCGGCTCATGGCAGTGGGCAGGGAATCGCTCTTACTGTCTTGGTGCAGATTACAGCACTCGGGATGTGAAACTAGAAGATAGTAGTAATTCGACTGCAATTTGGTCCATGGACGAATCTGAGAGATTCAGGATTGGCTCAGATGCTCTCGATGTTCCCTGGGAATCTCCAAGAACAAAAGTTGTGTTGTATTCTCCTCATGATGGACTCAATCAAAAGTGGTGGAAATTCTCCGACTTGAAAACAAATCTAGAAGGAGCTCCACCGGCAGTCTACCCATTCCCTGGTAGTGATGAGACAACATACAAGCAGGAAATAGCTAGAGGAATCCTGAATGAACTGAGTTCAAAGTCTGATCCTCTTCCTCACCCTCGAGACGTGGCTACCTTTCCTGGAACAGTTGATGCTAGCACACCAAGAGTTACAAAGAAGGTGACTTTAGATCTATCTGTACTTGGACAAGACAGAGATTTCCGAATGACAGTTCCCAAGGACTGGCAGCTCACTGGCCTATACCTAGCAGTGGGAGACGTGTGTCAGGTTATTCTGCCTGAAACTTTATCAGAGGCACAAGCACTGCAGATCACTGTTCGCATTGGTGCGCACATTGACTGGCTTCAACCAACGTCTGCTAATGTCATCAATGGACAGTACGACCGCATGCCCATAGTGTCTGAGGTATTTGATGTCAAGCCAGGTGTGAATGAGATCAGGAGTCAGTATGGAGGTAACATCATATTTATGTTCAGTGAAGGGGAACATTTCACAGTTGATGTTGATGTCACGAACGTGGTCGAAGCGCCATACTATCGCTATGGACAGACATCGAATGCAGAATGGGAAACTATCAAAACGAGAGATGCTCCCCAGACGTTAATGGAATCAGATAAGTGTGTGGTTGTTCTTGCCACAAAGGATGCAAGAGAAATAACCAGTCCTGAAGAATTGATGTCTCGTTATGACGAAATTATGGGAATGCTAGATTACGCTGCAGGTTTTGATGAGTCTGAAGCTCCACCACGCGGTAAACAATGGCTGGTGAACGATGCTCAGATCACAGCTGGATCAGCCCACGCTGGATTCCCGGCTATGTTTTGGCGTGTGTATTATAACATGGCTGATAATCGCACTCCCTATGACTGGGTAAGTTGGCATGAACTTGGTCACAACTACCAACAAGGACCATATTGGTCAGGAGCTTATGGTGGCGAATCAACAGTCAACTTGTTTTCGCTGTACATCCAGGAGCAGCTGTTCGATAGTGACAGATTGGAAGAGCAGAACAGTTACGTCATAGCAGCTGATAAAGTAGACAATGGAATGACCTTCGACGAGGGAGACGTGTGGGATCAGTTGGTGTTCCTGATGGAGATCAAGCATGCCTTCCCAGTAGGGTGGGAAATGTTCCGTCAGCTTAATCGGACAACTCGAGCTCTTTCTGATGAAGAAGCCAACTATTTGACACAAGATCGTCAACGGCAGATCGACCATGTGTACAAGAACCTCAGCAAGAGCGTGGGTTACGACCTAGTCCTTACCTACGAGCGTTGGGGTCTGAGCCTAAGCCAGGAAGCCATGGACGAAATAGAGCAACTGGGTCTGGAGAAGGCGCCGGGACCTCTCTCACCGAGCCGCGGGAAAGCCGTCTCAAGTAACAGATGTGTCCGACGCTCAGATGTATACACCATGTGTTATCCTACAGAGGAAGGTCTAAGGGAAAAGGCTTTCTAAAGCTTTAAAGATCCAAAGTTGATAGTCTGGTAGGATTATAAGAAAAGAGGAATTTGATTTTCACTTTAGTATTTTGATTTCAAATGGAGGGTAATTAGATATTCTACTTTACATTGAAGTCTGTGCAATCATTGCAAACATGTTATACATTTGTGCCTGTATTTCATTTTGGTAGTTGCTAAACAATATGATAACTATTTTATTATATCTATTTGGAAATTAATATATATATATATATATATATATATATATATATATATATATATATATATATATATATATAT